AACTGATGATTGAGTGAATATTTAAAGAAATCTTGATGAAAACAATTGAATCATTTCATGATAAAATCTAAGTTTAGTTATGCAACTTTAAATGCGCACAAACAAATAATTATTAATAATTGACGAAATATTCGATATTAAGTTGAATTAATCATAAATATCTGATATTTCCTGAAATAGACAACTTTTGTTACAAATGAATTACTTACAAGTAAACAGTTGGAAATGATTTATTCTCAATAACAAAAAAAAATAAAACTTATGCAACTGAACAAACAAAGACTAATTTATGAACGTATTCAAATGTCAGCGATTAATTGAAAATGTTAATGTATTCTTTCATTTCCTATTCCACAATTCTACAAAGAAACCTTTCTCTGAACATGTGTGTAGTATATAAATTAATTGATAATATACAATTATTATATAAAAAAAATATAAAGTAATAATAATAAGAAAGCTGTTAATTATATTGCACACCCCATTGACTTTTGCTTTGATCGACGATCGTAATCTGCCATCATCGATAAGCCATCATCAATACAGTTTTTGTTATCAGTCCAGAGTGAGAGAAAACCTTCCTGGAAATCGCGCGAAAATAACGCAGTTATTTTTTCTAGTTTGCTCTCGATTCGATTGCATTCATCGAGGGATTAAGCTGGTAAATAGGAAATGGATGGATTAAGTTTTATCGAAATGCTGCTAATGTTTGGATTACCTATTAATTTGCACAATATTTACACACATTTATTAGATAGAAAAAAAACAACATTATTTTTGTTGCTTTAATCTGTTACAAAATTAATAGTAATTAGCACTAAAGCTACGTTGTATTTAATTATCTATGAATGAATCATGCATTCACTTAGAAATTGCAAAGATCGATTGATTTTTGATCTCATCAATTTGTTTTTTTTTTTGATAATTCATTCAAGAATCACAGTAAAAGTATTCAAATTTTAAGAAATTAATTTAGAAAATCGTTTAAATTTTTGTATTCTGACAATTTCTATTCAGTTTTCTTCTTAAATTTCTTGTTTAATTTTTCTTTGAAGATTAATATTAATCATTTTTTACTGAAAATTTTCGTTTAAAATCTTCAAATATAAGAATTTACAATTAGTGTAATACATTTACTTCACTAAATCGGTTATTTAAAGTGATATTATATTATATTTTCAATTGCACATTGAGTAGTATTAAGAAATATAGAAAATTTCGTTGTTTATTTACATCGAATCAATCAAATTTATTTCTAAGATAAGTTTTCGAATTCACACTAATTGATCGACAAGGACACGTTTTTCCTGCTACTACTGAAAGCACGTCACATCTGTAATCTTGGACAGAAACCTAGAGTCCTTAGTTTTTTGTCGAAACACTCGAGAAACTTTTATCGACAAATATTCTTATGAGACAGAAAAAAAAATCAATCAACTAAGTAAATTATATAAAAAAAAACTACATAATACACATTCCTTCCCTTGGAAATGTAACCGAGCCCAACTCAACTCACTTTCCATTCTGCACGTAGCGAAGTTTTAACCTTGGCATTCCGAAGAGCTTTGGGTTGCGCAATTAAAGCGAAACAAAAAAAATGCGAAAGGAGCAGCCAACGTCGTCTCGAAAGTAGTATACTTTTTCTCGTTTAGTTTTCGCTAAAAAAACTAAATAGAGTCATCCTTGAATTAATGTTGATCGATGAGCGAATTTTTTCTATCTCTCACTCTCTCTTTCTTTCGCGATTCGTGTGTGAAAGACTCATTTAATAAGTAAGCGCCGTTACGTAAGAGGAGTCGGCGTTTCTTCTCTTCGGATCGAAAATGAAAGTCTTTGCAAATATCAAGCGAGCGTTGCGCAATGATCTCCGTTAATGTTGCCCAATCGACGGCGCGGCTTTGCCTCTTTCTATGCATGTGCCGTTCGCACTTTGCATACAACGCTCGATTGTTTTTTTTGTTTTTGTTTAAATTTTGTCCCGTTGCAAAATCCTTGATTCGCTATCGCTAATAATAACGGTATCCAAACAATTGTGATCAAACAATTTCGTTGCTAATTCCAGATAACGTTTAATCCCTCAAAAAAAAAATATTATTATTACGATCTATTAATACATTTTTTGCATTTCAAAATTCTCACTAATCTATAAAACATCTTCTGATTCATTCATTTAATAACCTTAGTACAAAAGTTTTCACTAAATCAATTATCTAAATACACACTGAAATCATGATATCTATGAGTTTTCATTTTGTTTGGCATTCAATTGTTTCCTCAATGATCGCAACTTTTGGACTTTTTCGAACAATTAAATTCTTTATTTAATCTTTTGTTTTACTAATATGTTTTTTTTGTTTCATTTAAACATACGAAACTATTCACTAAATTGCATAACATCTAATATATTAACTTTGAACTTTTCACTAAATCAATTATCTAAATACACACTGAAATCATGAGATCTATGAGTTTTCAACTTGTTTGGCATTCAATTGTTTCCTCAATGATCGCAACTTTTGTTTTTTTTTCTAATAGTTAAATTCTTTATTTAATCTTTGTTTTACTAATATGTTTTTTTGTTTCATTTAAACATACGAAAATATTCACTAAATCAATTATCTAAATACACATTGAAATCATGAGATCTATGAGTTTTCAATTTGTTTGGTATTCAATTGTTTCTTCAATGATGGCAACTTTTGGGGTTTTTTGAATAGTTAAATTCTTTATTTAATCTTTTGTTTTACTAATAAGTTTTTTGTTTCATTTAAACATACGAAACTATTCACAAAATTGCATAACATCTAATATATTAACTTTTAACTTTTCACTAAATCAATTATCTAAATACACACTGAAATCATGAGATCTATGAGTTTTCAATTCGTTTGGCATTCAATTGTTTCTTCAATAATCGCAACTTTTGGGGTTTTTCTAATAGTTAAATTCTTTATTTAATCTTTTGTTTTACTAATATGTTTTTTGTTTTATTTAAACATACGAAAATATTCACTAAATTGCATAACATCTAATATATTAACTTTTCACTAAATCAATTACCTAAATACACACTGAAATCATGAGATCTATGAGTTTTCAATTCGTTTGCCATTCAATTGTTTCTTCAATGATCGCAACTTCTGGGCGTTTTCGAATATGTAAATTGTTTATTTCATCTTTTGTTTTACTAATATGTTTTTTTGTTACATTCAAACATACGAAACTATTCACTAAATTGCATAACATCTAATATATTCAAATAACAACGTGAATCAGAAACTTTTCACTAAATCAATTATCTAAATACACACTGAAATCATGAGATCTATGAGTTTTCAACTTGTTTGGCATTCAATTGTTTCCTCAATGATCGCAACTTTTGTTTTTTTTCTAATAGTTAAATTCTTTATTTAATCTTTTATTTTACTAATATCTTTTTTTGTTTCATTCAAACATACGAAACTAATCACTAAATTGTATAACATCTAATACATTCATTTAACAATGTGAATCAGAAAATTTTTCACTAAATCAATTATCTAAATACACACTGAAATCATGAGATCTATGAATTTGTTTGTCTCTAATTATTCATTCAATTGTTTCCTCAATATTCGCAAATTTTGGATTTTTTTGCAATAATCATTAGATCTATGAGATTTCGTTTTAGTTTATCCCCGATTCCATTCATTAATTATTTACTCAGTAATAGAATCTTTTGAACTTTGCAACTTAAATTATTTAAAATTTTGTAATCAAATTTTAGAAACAAGTATTATTTACTAAATCAATTAAAAACAATAATTAACTAAATACTTATTGATTAATCATTGGATCTATGTATTTCAATTGTTTATCCTCATCGATTGTTTCCGTTAGCAATCCAATGTTCTGAACTTTGTAAATTTTCGAACAGTTACAATTTATCAAGTCTCTAACTAATCAAATTTTGTCCATAAACAAGTATTGTTTTCATTTAATAACGTTTTTTTTTTAATTTGTACATATTCACTAAATCAATTAAAAACAATCATTATTGAAATTAATTAATCGTGAGATCTATGGATTTTCATTTTGTTTATTCCCAATACTTCCTTCAATTGTTTCCTCGCTAATCCAATCTTTTGAATTTCGTAACTTTTTGAATAGTTCATTTTATGTTCTCTAACTAATCAAATTTTGTCCATAAACAAGTATTTTTCTCATTTATTAATGTTTTTTTTTAAATAATATGTACTTATTCACTAAATCAATTAAAAACAATCATTAAATAAATACTTATTGAATTGAATTAATCGTGAGATCTATGGATTTTCATTTTGTTTATTCCCAATACTTCCTTCAATTGTTTCCTCAAATAATCCAATCTTTTGAATTTTGTAACTTTTTGAATAGTTCATTTTTTTTATATTCTCTAACTAATCAAATTTTGTCCATAAACAAGTATTTTTTTTCTCATTTATTAATGTTATTATGAATACGAAAATATTCACTAAATCAATTGTAAACAATCAATGAAATTAATCATAAGATCTACGATTTTTTTCTTTTGTTTATCCTCAATATTTTCAATACAATTATTATATAAGTAATTTTGAAGTAAGCAACTTTTCTACAATTTAAAATTAACATTCTTTGTCTTTCGTATTATAAATATTTGATTTTTTTTTTTAAATTTATGAAATAATTACAATTCAAAGTAATTTTTAACAAATAGAAATCAAGTAACCTATTTCATCTGTCATTTAAGATTGCTTTTGTTGCCATGGTAATATCTAAACATAAATGTCAGTTTAATTGTGACTGAAACATAAAGTGTTTATTAATATGTATCTTTATAAAAGAAATACGAGCGCAGTCGAAGATTAAGACTAAAGTATGTATATTTTTCGACCTTGATTCCTTGCCCATATCCAAGATTGTGCTCATTACGTTTTTTTTTGTGTTTGTTAAAAGCGGAGACAAATATATTAATAAATAATGTTGTTGTTTTTTTGCAGGAATTTTCGGTTACATTAACTATCTGACTCCCAAGAGCAGGAAAGAGATCCTCGAGCTTCTGGTCAACGGACTGAAGCGGTTGGAATACCGTGGATATGACTCCGCAGGTAAAAAATAAAATCAATGCATCATCATGATTATGTTCATCATATCTCCTCGCAGTCGTATAAATTTCTCATTTTTCATTATTATTCTTTGTGCGAAAGTTAAAGCAATAAAATTATCCTTCTCAGGTGTCGCCATCGATGGCCCAGACAACAAAGACGTGGCCTTGATCAAGAACACCGGCAAAGTTCAAATGCTGCAGACGAAAATCGAGAACCGTAAGTGGAATTTTCTTTTCTCGACAAAACAACTTCAACAATCAACAATTCGAATTTGAAAATTTCTCAGTAATCTTATATGAAATGATCAAATGATTTAGTATAACATTGGAACTAGGTATACAAATTTTCTAATTTTTACAAGAGTTTTGTAATGTAACTTTTTCGTTGAGGAAGATGAGGAAACGAAAGCTGTTTCTATCTCGATGGAATGAACTACCTTTTGTCATTAGGATCTTTGTGATTGCAATCTTTATATCTATGTATAATTGGATATGTTTGTGAAGATGTTGTTTCTGGATTGTAGAGAGCGCAGATCTGCAGATGGAGGAGAAGATCGAGACCCATTGCGGGATCGCTCATACCCGTTGGGCGACCCACGGTGTGCCCAACGAGGTCAACTCGCATCCTCACCGCTCCGACGACAATCACTCCTTCGTGATCGTCCACAACGGCATCGTGACCAACTACAGGGAAGTCAAGGTCTTCCTCCAGAAGAAGGGATACTACTTCGAGAGCGACACCGACACCGAGGTCATCGCCAAGCTGATCCTGATGTTCTACAAGGAACATCCGACCTACTCGTTCAGGGAACTGGTCGAGCAAGTCGTCCAGCAATTGGTACGAAAACCATACACACACACACAATCACGATGCAAGAATTATAGCTTGTTTTTTCTGTTTGTTTGTAGGAAGGAGCTTTCGCCCTGTGCTTCAAATCGAAGCATTTCCCAGGCGAATGCGTCGCCACCCGCAGAGGATCTCCTCTCCTCGTCGGAATCAAGACCAAAACTCGTCTCGCCACCGACTACGTGCCCATCCTCTACGGAAAAGGTAAATACAAATCGAAGACGAAACGTAAAGCTCATGCGAACGCCATCCAAAACACACACACGTACATCTTTGTCTGCAGTTTTTTTTAATTTTTTAAACAATCTTTTCCGATTTTCCGGAAAGAGAAACCACCTCTTTAGTGTTACTAAAACATGAACGTTCTTCTATATGTGTTTTCTTACTAACCAAGAGTCTCTCATCCCCATCTCTCATCACTCACATCCAACGAAGAATCGAAACTAACAAAAGGAAAGCACTGGACGTGTTTTAATTTTTTTTTTGTTTTGTGTTTTTTTTTTAGTTTTTTTTTTCTAATTATTTATTTTATTTTTTTTATTTTTGTATTTTAATCTTCTGTACCTCCCGTGTTCCTTCCCATCTCTTTGCATGGATGTATTATCCTCTATCTCAACAGATGACACCCCTAGAAAGTCTGCAGGTATATACATTAAAAATAACTCTTTATTATATGTTTCTTGCTCTTTTTTTCTTTTTAATTATTTATTTAACTCTTTTCTATAAACGAGTCAGTTATTAATTAATTTGTTCGCTTTTTGTGTTCCGTCACTACACCAACACATATGATCAATTACAAATGTTACTTTTATTTGAGCTTTATTTTAATATTTTTTTTGCTAATTTTTGATTTATTTTGTTTGTTATTGTTTTGTATTAATTTAGTGTTTTTGTTCTGTTTTGTCTCTATCTCCCGCTGTTGTCGTGCCAAAAATCCCAGAATCAGACAACGCTCATTCAGGTATACCGAAACGAATCAGATTCATCATGATCTATGTTTCTTCACGTTTTATTTATTTATTTATTACTATTATGGTTATTCTGGTTCAGGGGCTTAAAACCGCTTTGTTTCGTTCATCCAACAACAAAAATAACGAATAATTCCCTAAACGCAATCTTTCCTTCGAAAAAAAAATCAAATAAACTCTTTTCTCTTTACTTGGTAAGTACGAATTTAAGGATTTTCGTTTATCGCTTTTTACAGGTGGAGGTTCGCAAAGCAGTTCTGTTAATTAATCATCGATTTATTCATTAATTTGTCCTAATTAAGTGAAACGAATAACGCATTCTGCTAATGGTGGTTTTTTTTTTGGTGATGCTTGGATCTGCAGGTTCTCTCTTGATCGCTCCTTTTTTTTTTTATTCTTTCAACGAGTGTATACTTCGATGTGCTTAGTTTGTTTTTCTTTTTTGCTCTGTCTAGAACATAGGCCGCACTGCCACGAGAAGATTCCGGTGCTTCCTCGCTCCGAGTCCACCTCTGAATTCCAGCCGTTGGAGGACAAGGAGGTCGAGTACTTCTTCGCTTCAGATGCTTCAGCCGTCATCGAACATACCAACAGGGTCATCTACTTTGAGGTACGAAATTATTACAATTTCCTTTTCCACATAATATCTAATACTAATTATCGTTTCTGCAGGACGATGATGTGGCTGCAGTTAAGGACGGAGCGCTCAGCATTCACAGGCTGCGTCGTTCTTTGGACGATCCTCACTCCAGGGAAATCACCACGCTGAAAATGGAACTGCAGCAGATCATGAAGGGCAACTACAGCCATTTCATGCAGAAGGAAATCTTCGAACAGCCCGATTCCGTCGTCAACACCATGAGGGGTCGCGTCAACTTTGATAATATGGTAATTCTATTCAATCCTTATAATCTCTTAAAAACTAAGAATTTACATAATTTGATCAAGAAATACAGATTTATTCAACAACTTCATTTCATATTGAGACTAGGCTTTGATTGGTTGCAATGAAGCTTTATGTGACTAAAATTTACATCATGTTTTCTTATCATTGAGATCAAATTATTTAACTTTTACGTACGGACAATAATCGTAGTGGACATTCCAACATTGTGTGCAATTACATCATTTATTATTCAACAGAATTATTGTCTCTTGAATTTAACTTGAACTTACTTTCTAATTTAAAACTATAATTTCTTGGATTTTCAATTCATATTTTTCATTAGTCAAAATCGTATTGTTTATTCGAAAATTCACTATATTTCCTGAGTTGTGTGTCATATTTATTGAGAAAACAAATCTAATCGGTTTCATTTCGTTTCGTTCAAATTCCATTGGTTTTTTTTTGATGATCAATACAAATTAATTGTATTTGTTTGATTCGATAATTTAATTAATGAAATTTTGTTTATAAATAGATTGTGTATCGAAAGTATATCTCATTTTTTAATTTTACAAAATAATATCTAAATTGTAATGAAAATTTATCAAAATTAGATAACTTTATTTGGAAATATAGGGAAATTTGGGATCACAATACAAATATTATTGCAACAAATTAAAATTTAGAAAAAAATGTTGTGAAATAATTAAATTATTGATAAAAAAAATAATAGTGATAACAACGGGTAGAGTAGAAACTCCTACGCATCAATGAGAATATGTTAGGTTTATCAATTTTGTTTGAAAATTTAATTACGAAAACGAAGTTAGTATTGTTTCATATATATAAATTAAGGTTTACAATTATATAAGAATTTCCAATTAGCTAGAGAATTAGAGAAATCAAAATTTATTTTATACATTTATCAAAGCACGTTTTTGAATAGTTTTTTGTTGTTGTTGTTGTTGAAATAATTGAGACAACTTTACAAGAGTTTTATGTTCCACTTAAAGCTGTCAACGCCTTTACCGAAATCTCATGATGAATTTATGACCGTTGGTGTTTTGTGGGCTTCGTGTGTGTTTTTCGATAGCTTTCGGTGCGTTGCAAAAATAATTTACGACCTTAAAAACTTTGTATAGAATTTGGGAACTATATAAATAATGTCTGTCACGAAACAAATCTAAAACTCACTTGAGAATATTTTATATGCATTTTCTTATTAGTGACTAAGAATGATTAGTTTGTACCTTATATACTTTAGTTCAGGGTTTCCCAAACTGTTCGTTCTGAGATAGAGCAATATTAAGGGCGCCGATAACTAAAAAGTTTGGGAACCGCTGCTTTAGCTTATATCTAAACCAGAGGATCCCAAACTTTTTTGTGTCGTAGACCCCTTGCCATGTTTTTCGGTTTTGGGTAGACCCCCTTGATCTTTATAATTATTAAGATCTTTGCTCTGAGACGTGCGTATGTTTGTAACAAGATGATACTGGTATATCATTATATGCAGGTTTT